AGCTGACGGGCTGATGCAGGCAGTTGTTGCCCTGAGCTTCCCATTTTGCAGCAGGCGAGAGATAGACCATTTCTTCTGTGAGGCCCCTACACTGGTGCACTTGGCTTGTGCTGACACGTCTGTCTTTGAGAATGTCATGTACTTCTGCTGTGTGTTGATGCTCCTGGTGCCCTTCTGCCTCATCCTGACCTCCTACAGTCTCATCCTGGCCGCTGTCCTCCACATGTGCTCCCCAGAAGCCCGCAAGAAGGCCTTTGCCACCTGCTYCTCACACGTGGCTGTGGTGGGGCTCTTTTATGGGGCTGCCATTTTTATCTACAAGAGACCCAAATCTTACAGGTCAKCTCACCACGATAAGGTGGTGTCAGCCTTCTATAGCATCCTCACCCCTATGCTGAACCTCCTCATTGACAGCTTGAGGAACAGCGAGGTCAAGGGCGCCCTGAGAAAGTGTGTGGCCAGTGTGTGGCCTTGACGCTTTATTAACAATACACTTCATTGCCCCAGCTTTTGTGGTTCAGCAGAGTGACTGGTGGGATTTTTAGAGGGGTAATTACAGGGACCCCTCCTTATGAATTAGAGACACGATCCACATTGCCCAGGGGATACCTGACCACTGATGCTCTCTTTGAAAACATTGTTCACCTTAGCTGAACACTGAGTGCTGTGGTCATAAATTTTGCAACTTGAGGTTCAAGAGCAAAAGTAGCATGCTTTTCGTTTTCATTCTTTGCAGTTTCACATGTATATTTACTCCTAGCAAAGATCTCTGCAACCTCTGCCTATAATTGTTTTCTCATGAAGTGGAGAGGTTCATCTTTTCAGGTCAGACTGGAGCATTGCTGTGCCAGAGTCTATCCTTATGGAATATGTATTTCTGGATTTTTTAATTTTAAGTTTTGAGTTTGTAGTTGATTGCAGGTAACTGAGTCTATGGTGCACAAAACCAGAGATAAGGGAGAACAATTGGATTCCCTTGGATCTGTATATCTGCCCAGCACATTTTACTTATCAATAAACCTGCATGTTTTAATGRGCTTTTACTCAAAAAGTGAATTCACTAATCCAGCAATTTTGGGATTGTTATCTATGTTTCAACTGAGGTATACTTTTTAAGAAATATGATGCTCACAACCCAGCCTTTTCTTTCAAGCAATTTCAATAAATACAAGCCTAATAGTCTACACTGTAATCAAGAAAGGCTACATGCACCAGCCTCCCAAGTCCCTCCACCACCAGTGAAGCACCCTCAAGAAGGACCATGGGTCTGCTGTTTATCCCATTGTTTAGTTTGGCCTGTTCTATTCTTGTCCTTGGAACCCCATGATGAATAGTCCTA